TTTATACTTGAATGCTACAAGGCAGCTGAAAGTCATAAACAGGCTTACAGTGGGTGTTCCATCTCTGTAACCTGATGGGAGATAGAGACACACTGGCTGGCTTACCAGAAGAACATAGTGGGTATCACCAAGGTGGCAATGTTGATTTATAAGCCCAAGGCTAGGAAGAAGGGTCTACAAGGTATCAATAAGTCCAAAAGCACAGTAGGAGTTGCTGGATGTAGGCAGGAGCACCGTCTTACAAAATGGGCAGGTAAAACAATTCCCGAATGGGTTTCAACTCTGTATGCAGCCGTCTGGCTGAAGCAATTCTTGGCCTGTAAATGTAAACGGGATCTAGATCTTAAAACGGGAAGGCCTAACCATTATAGCTATTGCATGGAAGAAAAACGACTTAATACGTAAAACCCACACGACTAATTTTTCATACACAAGACTGTGAAGGAGTAAATGTCTGGAAGCCGATTGTACAGTACAATTTACAAAAGCTACACAAAGAGGAATTAGGAAAATACAAATATTGCTCTGTGGGGAAGGCTGCTAATTCAGACTGCGGCATTCTAGCTCAGCGACTGAGTCGGATCTGCAGGTGCCCCAGCGTCTTCATTAATTCTTCATAGAACTGTTTGTGCTCGGTGTGTCCCATGCTGATGTTTGACAACTCAGCAGCTGTTATACCATATAAAATTGATGCCACTGCCCTTTCTTTTTATGCGGTTTCACAGTTTTAAAGTTGAAGCGTATCGTTGCTATGGTGATAAAACACTGCAAGTGTTGGTATTAGGGCAAGTGATTAATCTTCATGTCAACTGGTTGATTATGTGTAATGGAATAAAACTCTATAGTGGGGACTAACAGACTAAACTTTTTAACTGCTCACAAGTTGTGTGGTTTATAGTTGAAAATAGAACTTAATCACTTTGCAAAGCAGAAATATCACACTTCATGCAATAAACCTTTAAAATGTACATGTGCTCCAAATAAAGTTACAAAATTGAACATAAGAATTAAATGCCAGCACCGAGAAGTAACTAACTGCACATGCCCGGTGCCATCTTTGGAACTCTGCAGACAACCCTGTAATCAGTAGACATTCTATTATAACATTTCAAGTGCTTCCCAATCAGCAGGTACTTGACCTCACCCTTGCCTTCAGTGCTTTGCTATTGACCAGTGAGGTTCTTCATCATACCAATAGCAATGTTCAAGAGATGTAAAGGGATGGGGCCACTTACCCAATTTCATGGTATAAAAGACAATATCCACATAATAGAGCAGCACATATTTTAGGCTCCTGACATTTGCATTTAATTCATGTACTCAGCATTTATGATTTTTTTTTGTTTCTTTTTTTTCTTTAAAGTTGGGAGGTTGTTACACTGAATATGTATGATGGGTTTATATTAGAAGGGCTGCCAAGAATGTAGAGCAAGTAAAAGTTACAAATCAATAGTACAATACTGGAAAGGATCTTGTGAAATAAATAGAAAAACTCTCAAACTGTAGTAAACAGTTATCACAAACAGTTATCTGTAACAGAGAATAAGGTGGCCACCAGGGCAGATAAGGTCATGTTTGTGCCAACTTCCACTCATGTGGTCAGGATGGAAGGTCTTTAAACTGTTTGTTGATGTATGCAGCAAATGGTCTATTGCTAAACTCCAGAAGTAGAGTAGAACAAATGTATAAAGTAAATTCTGGACAAAGGAGGGCTGGACAAAATTAGAATCGTAGAAACAAACCCATTTATAAAAGCATTTAGGATCTAGGGAACATGTGCTTCCAGTGACAAAAATGAAGCACCAGCTAAAAGCCATTCAGAAGCAGCAACTACTGGGATCTGTGTAGAAAAGAGGGCATCCAGGTAAAAGGAATAAGTGTGCACAAGTGTGACGATAAGGTGAGCCATTCCTGGAAAAACAGTGCATTTGTCTTATTTTACTATCCCAAGGCACCTACCTGCTTCCTCACTTGCTGCTCCTGAGCTTCCACAGCTCTGCCTCCCTACTCGGAGTGTAATGCAGCCATTTTCATGTAGACAAAATAGGACATCCCTCTGAAAGCATGGGGTCACCTAGAGAAACAAGAAAACCAGATGAAGTAATAATATTACAGTACATAAAATTAATCAAAACGCAGGGAAGGGAATTTATCAAAACTGGAGCAGACAAAAATCTGGAGCAGATCTGCATGGCAACCAATCAGCTTCTCTCTTTCATTTTCAAATCCTAACTGAAGAGAGAAGCTGAATGGATGCAATAGCCAAATGCTCCAGATTCTTCTGCTCCAGTTTTGATAAATTGACCCCAGTATAATTACTAAAAGGAAATGCTCTGACCAAGGTACCTAAGGCTATCCTGTCATATATTAGTTACTATTCAGTTTTCTTTTTTAAAGGGTTAGTTCACCTTAAGTGCCTGCTGCCCAGTAGAACGTTTCTGACACTTCAAAACTTCACTACACAGTCCAGGAGGACGTGTGGCTTGCATCGACGAGGTGACATTGGCCAAAGCAACTACATAGCCCAGCGTGTGCAGCAGGTGATGGTCATCACTGTAGTGGAGGTCATAATTGCACCTGTGATTGGGGTGGATGGGAGGGAATTGAGATAAGGTAAGGGTGTTGCAAGTTAGTTCACCCTTTTAATGTGAGCCAAAGAAAGTGTTGGTCAGGATACAGGTCGGCATAGGCTTTAACGTGTTTTTTCTTATTTTGTATGACTAGGCTTAGTTTTTATTGGCGTCTTTGTCCCCATGGAGAAGATTCACCCCTCTACTTGCACTAGTGAGCATCGTCACCAAGAAAGGGAGGGTTCTTCTATACTTTTCAAGCTGTTCCAAGAAGAGACAAAAGAAAAATCTAATGGGGGCAGAATCTCTAGAACAGGAAGTGAAGGAAAATGTCCACAATGGTACACAGACAGCTAAATAGAAACTGGCATGAAGTCTAAACTACTCTATCCCTTTTAGATAGTCCCTACTCTATCTAAACCGAAGTTCTGACTATAGATACACTTCAACTGAGGGATCCTGCTAGAGGGTAATTTGTGCAGCAATATGGTGGGGCCCCATGTTCCCTACACACCTATAATGAGGCATCCCAGTCAGCTGTGCGATAGGTGAAATCTAATCCTAAGGGTTGTTCAGTGAAGAAACGTAAACATGACTGCTTACTAAGGATGTGTAAAAGCGGGGCCCCAACCTACATGGCAGAAGTTAAAAGATTTTAACACTTTTAAACTAGAACATGGAAAGGCGATGGTAAGAGAGAATAAGTGACGTCTCTACACAGGATCTATGCTTCTCTACACCTACTGACATCAAAAAGAGAAAAGAACTACTAAGCAAGAGAGCTGCCAGTAAACCAATTAAAAGGTCCCTAGACATCTTGTTAGTGAATAATGACTAGAAACCTACACATCAAAATATTTTTGAGGTTGGATCTGGTAGTTTTGGATGCAACCCTAACCCTAAAAGGGCCCCTCGCATGAACCCTCCCTGTAATTCTAATACTAACCCTTCTTTAAAGTAAAGTTAACCCCTTGTTTCATATTCACCTCACATGCACCAGCATCATCTGAGCCAGACTAATGTTTTTGTTCCCAAAGATGCAAGCACCAAAACCTTCAACTTCACCATGTACTACAGAAGCTCATTACATATTATATTACATACAGTAGACTCGATATTGTGTTATAAATGAGTGAAATTAGGGTACCTGCAGGAAAGGAACACCTGTCCTCTCAATAGCAACAACTCCAACAGTCTGATTCACCTCCAGATCCAAGATGAGGATTTCTCTGGGATAAAGCAGCAGCATGTGGTTACGTCTGGATGGTAAGTAGGACAACTGCAAGCAGTCATTCAGAGTCACAGTCTCAGCACTGCAAAATAAAAACAAAATACAAAAATGAAAGAAAGAAACGCATCAAACCACAAAAGTGCACCATTGCAGAACTATGTACAGATAGGAAACATTTCAGAGAAAACCAAAGCACAGTTAAAGAATCTTGCAAAATACAGGACTACTTCTAACTGTCGGAATTGTTTATTTTGAAGATGTGAAGGAAATAATTTGACTACGGTTATGCTCTTCACTTTTGTTTGCACAATTTATTGATTTTTCCCACATAGAAATTAACTTGTTGCGGAAACATGTAGGGATTTGGGTTATTATATGTTAGCACATTTGTATTGCTCTACTTATATTGGGAGATGAACAGGGATTGAGAAAGTGAGGGCAAATCAGGAGGTAATCAGTCAGACTCCTCCAATATCCCTCTACTTCCCTTGTACTCTAGGATGTGGATAGGACAAGATGAATTCAAGATTAGCAGCTACATAAGAAAGTATTGTTACATTGTATACAATTTGAAAAAAAGCGTATGCATGTTACGTTTTTAGGTCAGGGCTTGATGTTTAACTACTTCTAGGCATCGTTATGACATACATTAAAAAGCAGACAAACAACCCTTCAGATAAGCAAAGCCTTTGTCCTGATAAAATCTTCCAAATGCTTCCAAAGACTGGTAGGTTCTAGTTACCTTGGCTTCTCATTAGTAATGAGAATCTTCACTTTATTGAGGGCTTTCTTGGCACCAGTAGTCGTCACTGGCTTTGCGTGAGCAGGACTGGAGTGAGGGCTGGATATATAAACTTTCCTTCCACTGCTGGCTGGAGGCTTAGATGGAGAGAAGTCGGACACAAACACGATGCCCTCGCTAGTCAGTACTAGGTTAAAAAAAATGCAAAAGTCTCATTAAAAACTTTAGTTTCACAAAAGGACAACCAAAATGTTCACATTTCACTAGAGCCACAAAGCACCCACCATATTTAGAGGGCGCCCCCCTCGTCTTCATAGTAACACTGTGTGTGGGGGTGACCTTCCAAAATGTATCACTACCTATGCCTGCTTAAGAGCATAATAAATTCAAGCTTTACAGACATTTCGGATCATGCAGCGAAAAGTATGAGGAGATCCTTGGTCCACAGTACAGCGATCATGAAAAATGGTGTACCAACACTTCCAAATATATCACAGCAAAGGATTACTAGAATACCCAAGTCTAACTATGTATGGCCGATCATGTCCGCGACCACTAAAACTAATCGTAATTGTAACAAAAACACTCTGTATTAGTTAGATTCAGTATTCAGCTGAATAAATGGGAATCTTGAGCTTGACAAAGAGGTTCGCCTTGAAACGCGTTGCTCCGTTACTCTCCTGCACCCCGAGATCCATCCCGGCTGGCCAATCGTAGACACCCCTGTTGGAGACAGCCTTTCTAACTTCTCTCACTGGACTCACATTGACCAGGTGATCTTAGAGGTTACCAAACGATCCTCCTGTCAGGAGCAGTCGTCCAAGTCTCACCCCCCAGTGTCCGGACACAGCCTGACACAGCGTTGACAACTCCAGTCACGGACAGCTGGATCAGCGACACAGCTGGGACACTGACAGTGGAAGGCAGCAGCGAGCAGCAGCTCTCCTATTCTCTCTACTGTCCCTAACGGACCCACTCTCCCCCGCCAGAGACCCACAGCATTCCTCAGACAAGCAATCCCTTCTGGACCATACCACAACAGGAGTAGACACAGAAACTGTCACAGACGACATTTCGAGACGCAGCACCACAGCATAAATAGGAAACCGATCCTCCACCTAGGCTGCATGACACCCAGTCCTCATCAACAACATGTAAGTTATTTCACTTATAACACATCCTACACCCAATTGGTTAACGGAATGTGCTCCTGTTTGTATCTTTTGAAGTTTCCCCTACATGAAGCCTGCCAATTCTTTAGCTCGCATCATTCTGCTTATAATCCTCAGAATGAACAGCTCTTAAAAGCAATAGAGTATGTTCTCTCGAAGGCAAGTTATCAGAAGCCTGACATAACCAGGCAGTTGAGCCAGACTGCAGCAAGGTGTTGGGCCCTCTTTGAAAGTCAGTAGTCTAAGTAGTTTTTTTTATTTTGTTTAAAATAGGATATTTGTATAAATCAGAAGATCAAACGGTAGATCAGTTTTAAGCCCTAGCACCGATTGCTCACTCCCAAAACTTACAAGCAAGCTGAGAAGGCTGGAAAGGGTTGAAGGAGAAAGATAGGATATTTTCTGCATAGCTCTTTTTCCAGAGTTTTGTTCCAGTGTCTGCATTCCACAGTACAATGAGATTAGGGGGGTGCACAGCCAGCAACAGATCACGAGAGGCATCTTGGCTCCACAGCCACTGCATGTCTGCAAGATAAACAAGGGATATCATTATGTTAGCAAAAGTAAAGATTCAGAAAAACAAAGTTTGTTGGTACACCACTTTTGTACAACCTGCAGAAAAGAGAATATAGCCATCACACACACAAAAAAGACAAAATTTCAGCTAAATGGGCTGTTTACCAAAATTGATCTGAAATGTACATGAGGATTATCCCTTTAAACGTTCGGTAACCAATGCAAAAAGAAAACAAGCTGGCATACTGGCCAAGCGGATCCATAGTAAACAATATGTTTTAAGACTAGACTTGCTGGAGTAAGAAATAAACGTGGATATAAATGTGTTTTCCCAATAGTTTTAGTGATATCTTCTTACCATGGATGGGCTTTGAATGCTCCTGTATTTCACATCGTGTTGTGCCAGATGCAACATCCCACACAATAATTTTTCCACTGGCATCCGCTGATGCCAATCGCAGAGAATAAGGTGAGCCCTGGTTGTGGTGATAGTTTTCTCTTGCCCATTTCACCTGGGTAAACAGAAGGAAGACAGTGGTTCACATAGACAATGGTTAACAAGCACACTACTCATATTGGACAATTATACCTAACCTACAAATATTACAAAGTAGCATTAACTAGTGCGTGGTTGTGGCTTATTTACACTCACCAGACACTTTATTAGTTACACCTTGCTAGTACCGGATTGGACACCCTGTTTCCTTCAGAATTGCCTTCATTCTTCGTGGCATAGATTCAACAGGGTGTTGGAAACATTCCTCAGAGATTTTGGTCCAAATTGACATGATAGCATCACAGACCCAAAGAAAATATCCCCCCACACTATTACACCAGCACCACCACCACCACCAGCCTGCCTGAACCGTTGATACAAGGCAGGATGGATCCATGCTTTCATGTTGTTTATGCCAAATTCTCACCCTACCATCTGAATATCGCAACTGAATTCGACTCATCAAACCAGGCAATGTTTTTCCAATCTTCTATTGTCTTATTTTGGTGAGCCTGTGCGAATTGTAGCCTCCGTTTCCTGTTCTTAGCTGACAGGAGTGGCACTCGGTGTGGTCGTCTGCTGCTGTAGCCCATTTGCTTCAAGGTTCGATGTGTTGTGCGTTCAGAGATGGTATTCTGCACACCTCAGATGTAACGAGTGGTGTTTTGAGTTACTGTTTCCTTTCTATCATCTCAAAGCAGTCTGCCCATTCTCCTTTGACCCCTGACATCAACAAGGCATTTTCGTCCACACAACTGCCGCTCACTGGATATTTTCTCTTTTTCGGACCATTCTCTGTAAACCTGAGAGATGGTTGTGCGTGAAAATCCCAGTAGATCAGCAGTTTTTGAACTACTGAGACCAGCCCGTCTGGCACCAACAACCATGCCACGTTCAAAGTCACTTAAATCGCCTTTCTCCCTATTCTGACGCTCGGTTTGAACTTCGGCAGGTCATCTTCACCACGTCTAGATGCCTAAATGCACTGAGTTGCTGCCATGCGATTGGCTGATTGGCAATTTAAGTTACCAAGCAATTGAACAGGTGTAGCTAATAAAGTGGCCGGTGAGTGTATTTCCCCATCTATATAGCTTCAACATATTACCCAGAGCTTCACATAGTGTAGTAGTCACATTAATCCTTTCCTCAAAAAGAATTTCACAATCTAATGTTTCCACAGCACTCCGATACCAGTAGGACCAATCTGGGTGCAAACTGGAGCATCAGCAGGAAAATACGTACCATTTCACACAAATTCCTGATCTTTTTTTTTTTTTTTTTTTAAATTTGCCCATTTTTATTTTTTTTTTTTTTTTTTTTAATTGTGCACATCTATGAATACTGATTATGTCCATAAAATGTCCATCACCACTGTACAGTGGTGTCTGCCACAAATTTAAAGTGACTCAGTCACTAGGATAAAGAAATGGCATAAAGCAGGACCTGCAAAAGAATCTGTATATTTGCCAGTCCCACCTCCTTTGATCATCACTGCCTTGCAAAGCAATGGCCTGTTCTGGTTCAACACCCTTCCAGTTGTGTCACACTCTGTGGTTCCTACGACTGGTCCCTACGTCAATACAGGATACAGTGGTGATGTAGAGGCCAGTGGAAGAAACCAGTGCATGGTGGGGAACAAGGGGGAACCTGAGTACCCTAAAAGTGTTAGATATGAAGATAGTTGAGGTGGCTATAGCGCTTGAATAGAGCAAAGGTCAAGTGGACCAGGCAGTGGAACAGAGGAGTGTAAAGCTTGTATTTCTACCAATGGTGGTGCTTTCACACAGCCACAGTCAGTGAGGCATCACAGTATACATAGTATCTCTGCAATTATTTCCTAGGCAGAGATTTCTCACAAGAAGCATCTTTGATCCCTTAAACAACTCTATACTTTCGTTTGCCGTTCAGTATTATTTCAAAATGTCTTATTGGAGTTGGAAAAACAAAAAAAAGACAAAATCTACATTGGTAAAAGCTATTTAAAACACAACTTGCATGTGTTCACTTTTCAGCAAAACACGACAGACGCTGAGAAGAAATTGTCAGGTGCATACTAATTGCCTTAAAAACAAAGCCATGGCAGTGCTGTGGAGGGAAAGCACGGCTGGATGCGTCTGCATCTAACACTCTGGGGGCATGGAGAGAAGTTATAGAAGCTGCTTTCTTCCCTCCCACAGTGCAAACCGAGCAGCACACATGAATCACTTAGCCACATTTACATCTACCTTGCACTCTTAAAGAACTTCACCTTCATCCTAAATCCTCCAGTTTAAGTAAAAGGTAAAAGAGGGGAATTTATCAAAACTGGAGCAGACAAAATCTGGAGCAGCCGTGCATGACTACCAATCAGCTTCCCTCTTTCATTTTCAAATCTTAACCTCTTCACAACCCATGATGGGACAATTCCGTCATGGGTCCTTCAGGGGTTAAAGGGAAAAGCCGCCAGGGCTCTGTTCAAATTTGTAGAGCCGGCAGCCGGCTTTACAGTAAAAGAGATTCAGCTGCCGCCAGATCACTTCTACGGGCCGGTAAAGTGGCCGCCCCCCGCCCGACACCCCCTTCGTGTTTCCCGGGCTCCACTGCCCCTCCTGGGGGCCCGGGACGGGCATCTTGGTCAGCAGGAAACTGGGGAGGAGAGCGGCGAACGTACGTTCACCGATTTACCTCCCCCTTTCTATGGGACCGGGACTGATGCGTGTTGCATCACTTCTGGTCCCTTAGATGTCATTTCTAAGCTATTGAAGTGCGATCTGCACTTCAATAGCTTATTTAGAGTGTAAAAGGTGACACTAGGGGGCTTTGGGACCCCCAGTTTCACCTTAAAGAGTACCTGTCACCACCAATATGCTAGTAAACACCCGTATGTGATTGCAATTAAAATGTTGAAAAACACACACACACACAAAAAAAAAGGTTTAAAAAATTACTTTAAATAAAATGTAAAAATTATTTTGAAAAATGTTTAAAGTCCCCCGCGAGAACGCACATATTCACATGAACACACGTTGGGGGAACCTATGTGCAAAAATGTTGATCGTGCTACACTGTTGGGTATTGCCGCACATGCCAGAGTGAGAGCAATAATTCTGGGGCCAATATTAATCCGTATCTCTAAACGGACAACCTGTAAGGGCTTTAAAAATGTCGTCTTTGGACTTTTTGGGGTACTCAATTTTGTCGCAGTTACACGGACGCACACAATTTTTTACCTGGGCATGTTGTATCTATTTACTCAGTGTAACCTCATCTTTTATATTTTACAAAAAAAAAGGGGGTTTTATATAGTGTTTTGGGGCACTTAATGTAACCCAAGTGCATTTTTTCACTAAATTTTGGGGTTTGATAATAACTTGCGCTAATTTCGTGCAACATAAAAATTTGCAACTGCCGCCATTTTATTCTACGGGGTCTTGGCTTTCAGAAAATATATAACGTTTGGGGGTTTTAAGTAATTTTCAGGCCTAAAATGTAGATTATATAATGTAGGCAAAAAACAAAACAAAAAAAATGCCTTGGTCATTAAGGGGTTCACTGAACAAACTGAGGAGACAAGCTGATTGGTTGCCATGCACAGCTGCTCCAGATTTTGTCTGCTCCAGTTTTGATAAATTCACCCCATAGTCTTTTTAGTGCATTTTTGAGATTCCAAAACGGATGTAAATATGGTCAATGTTTTAGAAAAACCCGTTTTCATATATAGCTTTTATTTATATACACATTCATTGGGCATCCATGTTTGCTCTTCGCGTACTTGCAGTCTGCTTTCCGTTTTGCAGTAATGCTGTGCTTTATATCTCTAACAAATTAATTCTGTCAGCTGCCCTACTTAAGAGAATGCGTGCCCACAATTGGCATTTCAGCAATTGTTAAGCAGAGAAGCCGGGTGGTTGCAGAGAATACAGGGCTCCCTCTAATGGCTAGGCTATACATTTCTATGTTTAAAGCCCATGTACATGGAGGTTGCAAACTCTGTGAGGCCACAAAGAGGAAAGTATGTATTAGGGATGATCACGGGGTCTCTGTGCGCCTGCTTGCTAGTTGGCAAATTACGTAATTAAAAGACTGCAGATAGTCTCCAGTTTTCAATCAGACAAACCCCATGTGGTAGACTTTCAGTGAGATTTCAGCAAGAGCTTTAGTAAGGCACAATTACTATGCAGTAGTGGTAGTGAGGAACTGCGGTCAAGCTGCTAAATACACAGTTTAAAACAAACACATGCACACACGCACACAGTCATTTTGTTCAGCCACTTGCTGATAATTACAGGGAATAAGCTGATTAAGGATGGAGTTGGGGTGGTGACAAAGACATTCCATTGTTAAACCTGTATAAATCTTAGTCACCTGCCTGGCTCAGTAACGTGGCAAGTTTGTGTCAAACACAACATCGTGGCGTTCCCGATCCTCTCCCTGCTGAGAGCGGTGACTGTGAGTCATGGCTCCCAGCAGGGATTCCCCCCTCTCCCCTCCAATGCTGACTGGAGGAGCGGACAGGGAGGGGGCGGGCACTGCTGGCTCTGCCTCCAGAGGCAGGGCCAGCTCTCAATCAGCCTAGTGGGGTGGATCTCAACAGTATTTTTTGGGATCCGTCCCGGTTGCAGCGCGGCTCTGGGCTCTCAGCATATAGCGGGCAATGAGTTTTGGATCACCGGAGGACATCAGTATATGTCCTCCCATGACCCTGAAGAGAACCATGGGCAAAAAAGGTTGCCCCATAGTTCTGCTTTTTTAGCTGATCTCTTTTCCATGTATATGTAAGAACCACTAAAGACTATAGGTTCCCCCTTAAGCAGCTGTTCATGTTTTGTGCATGCTGGTAGATGGAGACCAGATGGGTTTCCTCTCATTTATGTTAATGGCAGTTTGCTAATTTTATTATGTATTAGTCAACCTCATAAGAGCTTTTCAACCCAACTATCGAAACATGTTCTGGTATATTTGCATGTAGTTAACACACCAGCTTTTGACTGGCATGGTTAATCATTCTTACAGTAATATTTCCCAGACTACGTGTACACAGCCTTTCCGAAGATAAACTGGGTCCTGCCTGCCTGAGGCTTTGCTCGGTGCAGTCTGAATATAAGCTGGAAAGGTTCTCCTACCTGGTGCTTTAGGATCTGTCAAACCCGACAAGCAGCAGACCTTGTGTGTTTGTGTGGTGGGGAGGGGTGTGATTTACTAAGGGCAAATAGGCTGTTCTCTTTGCAAGAAAATGTTCCCTTAGCTTAAAAGCATAACTCGGGACAAATACAATCTTAACCCTTGCAGTGGGGCTACCCCCACCCCATGCACACACACACAGGGTTAAGGGTTTGTTTGTCTAAGGAGCTAAAACAACAGAGTTATACTCACCAGAACCACGAACTGGACCGACTCCTAGACTGGTCTCTGAAGCCTTTCTCCTCCCTTGCTCCTGTGATGGTATGTCCCTAGGCGTCCTCACATCCTATATACTGTATAGAAAGTGATAACTCACAAGACCTTAGACTGCTGGAGCGGAGGGGGAGTGGAGCTGAAGGGACCGTTGTTCAGGCGAGTATAACGTTGCTATTTTAGCTCCCTAGATAAAACAAGTACTTATAACTTGCAGTGTGTGGGTAGATTTTAATTGCCCAGAGTTCTTTAAAAAAAAAAAAATTCTTTGCAAAGTGAATTTCCACCACATTCACTAAGCGAAGGGAAAATTCCCTTGCAAAACGAGCAGCTTATTTGCCTTCAGTAAATTACTCTCACAGTGCGGACTCAGTGGCAAGTACTTTCATCAGAGCGGCTCCTGCTCAGATGCTTTCCATTTCTCTCAGCAGTCGGCTCCATCACAGATGTAAAGTTTACTTTCATCACAGCTTCTACTTTTACATCTCATACAAATGAACAGTGTCCCTTATTTTTCCACTTTGAATTTCCAGATTGTTCTTCCACCACTGAAGTCTATGTTGACTTCACAAATACATGCTGGTTAGCTTTACCAATGCAGGTACGTCAAAAAGAAAAATTCTGCTTACTTCTTCAACCTAGTCCTACGCCACTGTGCTGTAGAGAACAATAATATTGTATGCAATCTTACTATGGCAAATCAAACATCCATTTGTCAGATATTATTTGTATAAGGTGCTGAGAGGTCACTTAAAGAAAAACCTAGAAAAAAAAAAAAAATGGAAAGTGCTTGAGCCAATGCAGGTCCTTTACTGCCGTGCACGATGAGGAGAGTAACTCTCCCCTCTCTATCCAGTTGGGGCTCAGCTGAAAATCAAACAGAGGACCAGCAGCATGTATACACTGCAGAAGGCTTTTAGAATTCTCCTGAAGATTATCCAACGGGATATCTGGAAAATCCAAAAACAGGAACCTCTCAGCTGTGTCCCAGCTATCAAGGTTGACCTGTTGACAATGCGCATGTCAAGGCCACTCTCCCATTACAACTACAGTGGTACCTCGGTTCACCAACGCTTCTGTTTGCGGACAGGAAGTTTGGCAAAATTTTGCTTCCGTTTGCGAACTCCGCTTCGGGTGACAAACACAACCGCAGCCATCTGCCCTGCTCTGACACATGGTCATGGCTTCCCCTAGTCGAGATCGCGGTCTGATCACAGCTTGATGCGGTTCGCGACCAGAATCATGGAACAAATTAAGTTCGTGAACCGAGGTACCACTGTACCAACTTTTCAATATATATATTCATGTTTCATAAAAAATATGTTTATTCAATATATACATTTTTATTAGCATTGGAGTGACCCATCCCACTTACCTTGACAATGTTGGCTTTGTGTTTCTCTAAAACCTGAAGAGTCTGTGCGGTGCTGGGGTCTACCACAAGGATCAGTGAGTGACATCCATAAGCAATTAAACCTTGGCAGCCCCTAGAAAGAAAGCAGTTGATGAAGAGTCTGTTTGTTGTAAGCACTACTGAGCGGGACATATATGCCTACTGCAGGAAATACACCTCTACAAGTGCTATCTGCATATAAACTCATCATTTTCCCTTCCTGGTACCTTTCATGGCACAATATCATTATCATTAGTATGCTGCCATGTAGGCTCCAGGAATCTACTTTTTAAACCTTTTTAATGAAAATGGAGGCAGTTAAAAAACCCGCATTTATTTCTATTTTATTTATGGTCTCCTTTAATCTACACAATGATCAAAACAGAAAGCAGGAACACTGTCAACGTAATAACAGGTCTATAATTATGTAAATTTCTATTGATAAAACATCACTAATAAAAACTATAAAAATGGTGTGGAGATATTTCCTTATACAAGAGATATAAAATACCTGGAAATGATTTACTCTTATTAGTATTATTATTTTACTCAGCTAAATAAATTCTAGATATGTGAAAAATGAAACCCTCGGCTGGCAATCTTTCAGCCAACCAGTGAAAAGCATTTGTGGTGCTAAGAATATTCTTACACATCACTTTACCCTCAAGGGATTCAAGTGCTTCACATCTCCCAGGCAATTACATACTGGAAAATGGGGCAGGAATAACAACACTGCAATCAAATGACTTGAGGAACACATGCATGCTCAGCCTTCTTTCATAAACTTCTATTAAAAGGTAATATATACAAATGAATTAAATTATCATGATGAATGGGCTGCCAAAGCACCCAAACATGCCTGGCGTTGCACATAACCCTTTTTATTGTAACACAATGCACTACTATGCATTGCTGTCCACCTATAGCAGTGCTCCCCAACCTTTTTATCGCCGCCGACCAGTCAACGTTTGATCATTTTACCGCGGCCCGCTGAGGGGGGGACGTTGATTGTTTATATTTTAGATTGGAATCACCTGTCCCGATAAATCCATATTTCAAGTAGGACTCATGGTATTCTCTGTTAAAAAGTTACATGTTTCTTTGATGTTGAAGGCCCTTCTTCTGTCTCTTCACTGGGCCTTTTCTTTTTCCCAAGGAAACTTTCTAACAACGTCTGTTTCGTACTGATTTTTGCTAATTTGTGGGTTAAATTTGAGCAAACACAATATACACGTACACCAAGCACTGTTAAACATGAGAAAGTACCGGTGAACAGAGAGAAGAGCGATACACACCTTCTCTTTACCAAAGCTACAACGCCACTGCCGCTTGCAGCCGCTCAGCTCCAGACGTCACCTAAAACCGCCCCGATATCACGATATTTTGCGCATGCGCGGTATTGGTGCAGCTTTAGGTGATGTCTCTCAGCTCCCGGTTAACCTCTCGTCCTGGAAAGTCGGACAAACCTGAGAGAAATACACCACAGTAAATAAAATGGAAATAATTTAATGTTCCTTGGGCGGCCCGGTACCATTTGATTCACGGACCGGTCCGCGGGCCCGGGGGTTGGGGACCACTGACCTATAGTGTGCTACAATGCAGGTGCCTCCTTTCCTTGCGTTGGGGTGCCATTACAAATGGATGTTACTTTCGTTACTGCAACGCAGAAGTGTGAATCCAGCCTCACACTTAATCATTCCATTGTAATGCGTTAATGCAAATACATTAAAGGAGAACTATGGGGTTAGGGCTTTTCCCCATAGTTCTCCAAAGGGTAACGGGAGGACACAAACTAGCGTCCTCCTGTCACCCTAAGCTCAGTATACTGAGACGCCGCAGCTGAAATGGATCCCGACAATTCTGTCTGGATCCGCCCAGCTGCGTGAGTGACAACTGGCTCTGCCTATCTAGAGACAGAGCCAGCTGTACCCGCCCCCTCCAAAGTCCGTTCCGCCAGTCAGCGCTGGAGGATCGGAGCGGGGAGAATCCAGTCCCCCCCTGTCACAGCTCTCTGCAGTGACAGGATCGAGAGGTGAGCGAACGCTGGTATGTGTTCGCTCACTTCCCGATCTACTGAGCCGACCTGTGACAGTTGCATTGTCACAGGTCGGCTCAGATTATGAGGATGATTGCGCATGCGCGGTATTGGTGCAGCTTTAGGTGATGTCTCTCAGCTCCCGGTTAACCTCTCGTCCTGGAAAGTCGGACAAACCTGAGAGAAATACACCACAGTAAATAAAATGGAAATAATTTAATGTTCCTTGGGCGGCCCGGTACCATTTGATTCACGGACCGGTCCGCGGGCCCGGGGGTTGGGGACCACTGACCTATAGTGTGCTACAATGCAGGTGCCTCCTTTCCTTGCGTTGGGGTGCCATTACAAATGGATGTTACTTTCGTTACTGCAACGCAGAAGTGTGAATCCAGCCTCACACTTAATCATTCCATTGTAATGCGTTAATGCAAATACATTAAAGGAGAACTATGGGGTTAGGGCTTTTCCCCATAGTTCTCCAAAGGGTAACGGGAGGACACAAACTAGCGTCCTCCTGTCACCCTAAGCTCAGTATACTGAGACGCCGCAGCTGAAATGGATCCCGACAATTCTGTCTGGATCCGCCCAGCTGCGTGAGTGACAACTGGCTCTGCCTATCTAGAGACAGAGCCAGCTGTACCCGCCCCCTCCAAAGTCCGTTCCGCCAGTCAGCGCTGGAGGATCGGAGCGGGGAGAATCCAGTCCCCCCCTGTCACAGCTCTCTGCAGTGACAGGATCGAGAGGTGAGCGAACGCTGGTATGTGTTCGCTCACTTCCCGATCTACTGAGCCGACCTGTGACAGTTGCATTGTCACAGGTCGGCTCAGATTATGAGGATGAGTGAAAAGCACTCACCTCATAGTTCTCCTTTAAGTCTTCTGTGGTGCGTTGCTGCAATACGCACCTTACCACAACAGCTGTTAAAATGGACCTTTACCCCCTTTAACCAAAAATCACATCAGCATGTAGCTCTGCATGCCGATTTAAAATCAGATTACATTCAATAGGTAAACAAACATGTATTTAATTTACTTACAAATAGAGTTTATCCCCTTCCTGGTCCGAATGAGATAATCGTGGCATGTGGCACAAATTAGATCATTGTGCCCAAGTGTTGCATCCTGGGAAGGTTAAATCAGCAGAGCATTGCTGGAAACTCATCTGTAATCTTACGAAATCTCAGGGAAAGGCATGTTCCTCCCCTGAGATGATGTGCAGGGTCACATGTCCTAGTCACATGTGTAAGAGTTCCAGGAAGTAAAGTGAGATCTAGTACCCGGCCCTTAGTAAAAATGGCCACTGTCAGAAGACTGGGGAAGAAAAGAAAACTAAGGCATGCAAAGAAAAAAAAGCCGGTGTTCTATCGAAAGGTCTCACTTATCGAGTTCTCCGACTGGTGACGTCACGTCCGGTGACTGCCAGTAGAAGATCTAGACCAGATGGAGCTGGAATCCTTGTCAAAAACGAACTATTGCCACTGCGCCACGCCGTCGAATTCTATAACCATACTCGGCACTGCTCCTGTGCAGCTATCAGCTTCTATAACGTAGGACAAATATAACTTTGTACTAGGTTATAGAATCCAATGAGCCAATAGCCGCACAGGCACAGTGCCAATAGTTAGAGAATTCGGCAACGATTCCATGGGCATGCGCACTAGCTCCGTCTAGTGTAGATCTCCTACTGGCAGTCACCAGATGTGACGTCACTAGTTGAGCTCGGCAAGTCGGAGCTTTCGATAGAACACCGGCAATTATCTGGAAGTATGTGTTTGTAGATTGTCATTACTAAACATTTCCAAAAGGTGTGTTTTGTTGTTACTTTAAATATATGGGTAACATTCCTCTTTACATTTTCACTTTGATGTATTCCCCAACACACAAAAACCTCATAGAGACAGCAAAATACACAACAAAATAGGCAGCCGTATAAGAACAAACATTAGGAAAACAACCACAACAGACATTTAAAAGAAAAACATGTCAATATAGAAACACCTCATAGGGGGTACCAACATTCCTTCGCACCCCAACCAATGTGTTTTCCATTGAAATGAATGGAAACAGATAAAAACATATGTAAATGTATCGCATAATGCAAAGCGCTTTGTACTGGATGTCAACATGCATCATAACAGGCATTGACACACGATGTGAATCATGATGTGCTTACATACATCAAGGTGCATCAATGTACGCCATGACACACCTCGATGCACATCCTAACACACGTTGAGATGCATTTTGATGCATTTCTATTGTTTCCAATAGAAAACACCTCAAGCAAAAAACAAACAAAACCAAAGTAGGTAAGGGTTTAAGATACACTGTCAACTTGCCCATGCAGAGGTAAAGGGCCGCCCCTGACCCTCCTTATATGTACCAGCGCCCATGCTCCATTCCTTTCTCTTACACAACTGCCCACTATGTAGAGCACTTGAGGAAAAAGAGCAGCATGTCACCTCCTTCCCTGTGACAAAGCTCAGGTCTTCCAGACTATTGCTATGCCCTTGAAACTGTCACATGACTGGGCAAGTGACGTCAGCCCCAGTCCAATGCCCCTTCCCCGCAATATGGGGTATTATAGGGGCATTCTAGCTTGTGTGATTTGCTCAAAGATTTTCCAAGAAGCATGCACTGAGCTACATTTCAAATTTTAGGCATCACCTGTAAAAGACATTTGAAATTACATTAAGTAGGGATGCACCGATGCCAGTTTTTTAGTATCGATGAGTACAGATATTTAATCTTTCGGTACTAGCCTATACATATTTTTGCTAGCAATCTAGCATGGAGCCAGCTTCCTGGGCAATCAGGAAGCCGGGCGGCGTGTCATTAACCGCCGCTTGGCTTCTTGATTGCCCAGGAAGCTGTTCCATGCTGTTTGGCCATCTCCATGCTGATTGGACTTCCCAGCCAAACAGCATGGAGCCAGCAGGCCGGTTACTGGCTGCCTGGCTTCCTGATTGGCTGGGAAGCTGGCACAATGTTCCCTCCTGGCACTGCCGGTCAGAGGAAATCTCCCTCTGACCGGAATTTCTGGTATCGGGGAAGGTATCACAGCATTTGGGCAAGTACGAGTACTCATCCAAATACTCGGTATAGGTGCATCCCTAACATCAATAGAAGGCATAGTAAAGCAAACAGCATTGTCTTCATAACAGAGAAAGCCATGAACCTCAAAAAAGGTTTACACGCACTCATCAACCTCACCGCCAATGAATTCTCTTGTAGCCAACATAACCCCCCCAATCACCACCTGTAACCCCCACCCCCACCCTTGCCATATGTTCCTGTTCCAGAAACCCCCAACAGCCATACAACCTCCTCCTTACCCAACGCCCCTGCCTTCAACTCCAACAAACCCCTCCAATTTACATAGTATCGACCTCATTCAAGGGAACCATCCTCACCTTCATGGATCCACCACCTCCAGTCAAAAGAATATGTACAACGTGCGCCTGACCTGACTGCACTGTTAATCAGTCAGCGAGCCATTATCTCCTGTCACCCTGTAGGGCACAGTGGTGGAATTTATCTGCACAATTAAAAGGTGATAGAGAGGGACATTGTATATACAGTCTCTCTTACCCGTTACTAGATACACACTTAATGCATTACTGTCCCTACAAATAAAATAAAATAAAAAAAATGACCTATCTGCAAAAGAAGAGGTATAATACTTACCTCTAAACTCAGATGTTTGCCGTCTTCAAAAGCTAGGGCCGCTGAAGACTCTGCTACATTCAACATACTTCTGGGTGTGTTGAATGCTCGAACCTCCATAGTGTGCTATGGTTCTAACCATCTGCCCCTACATCATTACTATTTATTCTACAGATAACTTGCTTTATAAATCACCATCTGTAAGCCAGGTAAGATATCTACTTGCATTATTTAACAAAGAACTCTACTACAAAGTGACACATCACACAACACTGGCCTTGTGGCAACCATTGATGTATTTTTAAACAAGCTATGCAAAAAATTTAATTTGCCTGGATCCTGGGAATAGCATTTTCCATCTGCGCTTGTCTGGATGAACATGAACAGAAAATAGGGAAACATACTCTTCTGTTGCCCTGGTTTCTGAGTGAACACCCGTGGTAGGATACAGTATGAAGAGGCAGGCTGGAAAGGAATAAAACAATAAAACAGTGCAAGCAATGGAAAGAACGCTAGAGGCAGAAAGAGAAATTACATTTTGATGGAGATAGGTCTAAGGCTGGGTATGGCCATGTTCTGGAAGTACATTTATTGGATTTGTGCTGTAATCTGTCTATACACATTAAAGACTCTACACTTATTACTTCTAAGCCAACCCATGCATGACATGTTATAAACAAACAGCAAAATCGTTCAGGTTAATTTGTGTTTGAATGGCATTCATATGAGGTGGAGAGGGCTTTATATTTACTATGAACTTCTTCATTGCCCAATAATAGGAACGCCAAGTCTAAAGTCTTTTGTATCCAGAGCCTCCGAAGAAAGCAAATCAAGAGCTGTTATTTATAAACCGTTGTATCGTACTGTATTGTACTATAATGTTACACTATACAAATAAAGGTTAGACAATTGTGCATTTCCAACCTTGGAAAGGTTCTTTTGCATTCCAGCATGACCGTGACCCTGTATATGAAGTCAGCTTCATAAAAGACATGTTTGATGAGTTTGGTGTGGATTGTACAGAAGCTTCACCTCAACCCTATTAAAAAGGTTTGGGATGAACTGAAATGTTGACTGCAAGCCAGGTCTCCTCAACCAATATTACCTGACCTCACTTTTCACTGTTCTTTTGGCAGAATGGGCACAAATTCCCTCAGAATCACTCCTAAACATTGTGGAAAGCCTTCCAAGAAGAGTACGGATTGTAATAGCCACAAAGTACGGGCCACCGCCATATTAATGCCCATGGTTTTCAAATGGAATGTCCAGCAAACTCATATAAGTGTGATGGTAAAGTGTCCACAAACCTTTACCATATAACTTAGTGATTGTTCCCTATTCTTCATAGAAAATGGTACTTGCTTTGGAAAATTCGGGACAAAATGCCAGCTAGTTTAAAGCAGTACAGCTTTGAGAATGCAGATCACAGTCAGCCTAAGAACCTGGATGACAGCACCCAGAGAATCTCTCGGGGGTCACTTACTGTATGGAAACTGCTGGCTGTACATGCAATGTCAATGTGTCCATCTAATATGGTAAAGGATCCAGCATGTCCCGTTCTCTCTTAGCTTGCTGTAGCTGCCTGTTTAACGCATAAAGTGAGTCTGTGGTAAAAACTAAAAATAGATCTGTATTTCTATATTGAATTTCCATAAGTTCTATCCCACTCCTAATAACCATATTGATCTAGAAGTTTGTAAACCTACTTGCTGAAGATGCCCATAGGATGTACTTCCTCAATGCACGGACACAATTTCTCTGAGCCCTGTCAATGTGCACTTCTTTGTGTCACCTCTGTCACAGAGCCTGCCTTCTGAACTACAACTCAACACCTGAACAATGTAACATCATCATTACTTGCTGGAAGCAATGCATGATGGGGTATACAGTCTTGGGAAAGAGAGATTGCATCACATCAAGCAGCAGAGAGACAAGAGACACAAAGCACACTGGGAATCCAGGACGTTGATGAAAGTGCTGGGCAGACAGAAATCAGCACTCACTACAGAAAAGAGATTTTTTTTTTTCCCAGTAAGTTTAAATGCAATAGAACAACTCTGGTATGTATTCCTATTACAACAGTCTAGTATATGCTGGGACTTTAGAACTCCTGTAAACTTTACCCATATCCTTGAAATTACAACAAAGGCACCTTTAGAAATGTTTAGTAATGACAATCTACAAACACATACTTCTAGATAATTGCCGGCTTTGTATTCTTTGCATTACTTATTTCTATTTTCTTCCCCAGTCATCTGACAGTGGCCATGTTTACTAAGGGCAGATTAATAAATCTCACTTTACTTCCTGGAACTCTGACACATGTGACTAGGACATGTGACCATGCACATTATCTCAAGGGAAGAAAATGCCTTTCCCTGAGATCTCATGAGATCACAGATGAGGTTTTCCAGCAATGCTCTGCTTATGAGAAGACAATCCCAGTGTGCACTGGGTCGCTATGGCGATAGTTCCGACACTGGGTGAGAAGCTCTGGACATTTCAGCTTTCCACAATCTTTGGTAGAGTTTATAAAGGAGAAGTAGGCAGCTTTCTGATCCCAAAGTTTCTTTTAGTCCTTCTTAAAGTGACACTAAACTCAGACGTTAAATCTTATTTGTGTATCACTCGGCTGTAGATCCTGAAATCTTAATTGGTGCTGACACTGTCCTTCCTTCTGGAGGGTGGCTACTTTCGTTCCCCATGGTCCCTGTGTGTGTTGTAGAGTAGTCACCGCTCCATGCTTACTCTTGTGATGGACTACAATCTCAATACAATTAAGTTGAACCCTAAGGGCTGCTGTATGGTCTATTCACAATAGCCAGCACAGCAGCCAAGCTGAATGCACATGCTTCGGCTCAGCTGAGCCGTAGTGACAGGCGCAGCGTGGAGAAAGGTCGGCCGAAGAGCCGACCTTTTCTCCATGCTAACGAAAGCTGGGCGGAGCCAGCCAGTATCTCGCGACTCGCCCCACCCAGTTGTAATGACAGATCAGCGTCCCCAAATGACCTGGGCACGCTGATCTGTCATTAAACAACAACAACTGAGTGGAGCCAGCCATGATGTCACTGCTAGCTCCGCCCCAATTGTTTTTATTTTGCCAGCATCTGTCAGATGCTTTATTATGCGGCGGGAGTTCATTGCGTGCGTTGGTTTTTTAAATTATTTTTTCTTTTCTTTAAAATATATGGAATTTTCCTTTTTTTTACATTTTTAAAATAATTTTTCAAATTGTTTTTTTTTTTTTGTTCCATTCATTTAACTTTTTTCTATTCTGCTCGCTGCCTCGGATATTCACTTACTGCCGTTCGGCTCCTATGAGAATAGAGGCAAAAGGCAGCGAGTGAGCTGCCAGAGCTTCGGCTCAGATCCAGATGTTGGATCAGCTGAGTCGAACTCCTTCTGCATTTTGGATCAGCCGACGTACGGCTGCAATCAGCGTTCGGCTCATTTCACCTCGGCTCGGTTATTCACTCGTCTGCCTTCAGCAGCTAAGTGAGTAACCCCCTAAATGTGAGTCTGTAGTCAATCAATGCAGCATGTTGCAATAGAAGTGTACAAGCTGCGGTGAAAAAAATAAGTACTGTATGTCCTACAATGTGCAATGCTATGAACTGAACTAATAGGACTGAAGGCAATATGCTATTGATATGCTTTGGACAATGCTGCCCTGTGCAAATGGTGGGAACATGCCCTAAATACCAGTTATTGTGACTGACTACACAATGAGTGGGGGGTGCAGGGGGGGTTAATAATAATTGTTGCAGACAGAATCTGGAGCACTTGCCCACTGTAACCAATCAGGTTCTCTGATTTTCAAAGCTTAACTAAACAAACAGAAAAGTAAAGCTGATTGGGTACTAAGGGCAACTGCTCCAGATTCTGTCTGCTTCAGGTTTTGATAAATTCCCTCAACATGACGTACGCGTTTTTTAGCGTTGAAGAAGGGGGACAGTCACCTGTCAGTGTACCTTGCTGGTCACACATACACTCATTCTGGACGTCTATAGTGGACTGGTAATGGTTTCTTTCAAGTAACATAAACCTGAGCCAGGTCCCACCTCTTCCAAGCTAGGATAAGACCTCTGGCTGGAGTTGCACTTTATACCTGAGCTGTCAGTGCAGCGAAAGCAGCAGAATAAGTTTGCAGCACGGTGACCTCTGACCCCTGCCCGGGAACTCACCAGTCCAGCGCCCCCTTGTTGGTCTGGGTCAGCGCCCCTGTCAGGGTCCGGGTGGACAGCGTGATATGTACGGTAAACGGGATCATGTCCGGGCCGTATCACAACGATACCAGAGATATTAAATGACAGCTTAATAGCAAGGAGCTGCCATCATCAGCAGACCACTTCCTCAAACGGAGCTCGGAGAAATACTTCCGAGTAGAAGTGACGTCATCCGGCAGGAGAGTTCGGCGGCCATATTTAATAAGGGAAAAGTGGGCAACTGTTGGGGAGAAGAAAATAAAAACAAATGTACCCTTTCTAATAATTATTATGGTTGCCTTGTTTGTCTGTTAAGTCATTTGTGAAGGTTTTTAACGAATTATGCATTGATTTATTAAATCTTGCATTAGGCAAATTTCCATTTTATTTCTCACAACTTTTAGACCTTTATACAGTATTTATTAAGGGGTTCTCATAGTAATTATATTGACTCTTATATAGAATGTGGGGGGAAAAAAACTGAGAAAAAAAAACTGAGAAAAAAATCCTGAGCCTGCTACTGCATAGGTGCCTGCTTTAGGCCTCATGCACAGGGGCACATCGGGGCTATAACAATTTGGCGTATTTCTTTACCTGGAGAGCTACAGGTACTTGGTACAACCTTTCTTAGACATTAATGTCTATGCGTGGCTGTACAATGGTTATACTCAGTAGGCACGCATTAGGGATGCACCGATACCAATACGAGTATCTCCCTCTGGCCGGCAGTGCTGAGGGAGCATCCAGCCGGCTTTCTGTCTAATCAGGATAAAAAACGGTATTGGTGCATCCCTAATTGTAATAAAAGAGGTACAACTAATGAGGAAGGAGGGATTTTAGCTCTGACACAGAATGGCAATTGCACTTACCGCCCACTAAACTTGTAGTAACTGCTGTAAGAGTTTTAGGTATTCAACATATTCCTGCACACGGCAACAGGTAAAGAACACCTCTCCCCCCCACACTGCAAGAGTTAACTGCATGTTTTCATCTAGGGACTAAAATAGAAAAGTTATACAGACCCGATCCTCCGAGCCGGTTTGTTGTTAGAGCGGTCCTTGCAGCATCTCAGGTCCCGTAAGTCATCACGTTCCATACACTGTGTATAGGATGTGAGGACGCAGAGGGACATGCCATTGTTGCAGAACAGGAGGAGAAAGGCAGGAGGGAGCGCGGTGACAGCTGCCTGGCTCTGAGGTTCTGGTGAATATAACTTTTTTATTCTAGTTCCTAGATGAAGAGAAATGAATCCTTGCAGTGCAGATGTAGCCCCACTGCAAGGGTTAATGACATTTATTCCCGGAGTTGTTTTTTAAAGCCCAGTTTTTGTTTTTATATATGTTTAAGATCACATTAATGCTAATATGATAATAAAAATGTTTAATGCTCGCTGTTTACCAAACAAGTCTAGTTACAGTATTTCCATATCAATGAATGGCAGAAGACTGATATAACTGCTTTGTAATGGTGTGTATACCTACAGTTTATGTATTCCAGAATCCTGCTGCACTCCTTACCGGGTATCCCTGTCAGCGTGGGTGCTCGAAGTGACCGCCGATGGCGCCGCCAATACTGAAACTTGTAAAACACGTCTGTTTATTGGCGCTTCATAACAAAACAAATAACAGCGTTTTGAGGCCACACAGGGTCCCCTTCATCAAGCTTAAAACTACGTAATTTCAAGCTCGATGAAGGGGACCTAGTGCGGCCCCGAAACATTATTTGTTTTGTCATGAAGTGTCAATAAGCAGACATGTTCTTCACTTCAATATTATGTGCTGGTGACATCTTCAACAAGTTACATATACCTACAGTTTGTGACCTCAAAATAAACCCATGAACAGCTTTTACCCACTTCTAGAATGTAATGCGTCGCTCGTTGGTATTATAACTCGTGTCATTTTGATCCCGAGCCATTTGTGTCAAAGCAAATTTGCCACACGGTGATCAGATTCCATTCCAAAACTGATGCCCAGCTAAGATTCTTCAAAGTGACAGAAAAATGCGAGTTGTCTATTAAAGATGTAGTAAAGGGAATTGAAAAGGCTTGTAGCGTATTCTCTGTGGTTGATTTATAATTAAAAATATGTTTCTTTCCTTAGATGTTGGGAACTTTCAGCATCCAGCAGGCATCCCGCCAGTTGTCATTAGTCGAGTTTGACCTACAAACATAAGGGAACTGCACACTGGGTGTACCCGGATGTCTGAGCCTTTCCTCGCTGTGACAAGCATGATACTCATTGTGTCTCATGGATAAGCCTGAGACAGAGGTGTCTGGGAGCGCAGAGAGGTGACAGTCTGGTAATAGAAAAAGAAGGCATCAGGCGTATCCTGAAAGTAGAGAGAAGTCACAGAAGGAAAGATTCTCATTTACTTGCGTCCTCCGACACGCTGAAAGCATTTCTCATCAATTTACGTTTACATTTCGTTTCCAAATTTCAGTTAAAAATATTTGGCTGACTTACGAGACTTACATTTATGGTAAGGTTAATATAAAAACACAAGAGCTTCTATTAGCTCAGCTTTTCCCGAACTGCAGATAAAACGCAAAATTCAGTCCAAACAAAATGCTAAAAAAAGCAATTTTCACGTGTCTGCCTGGAAGATGTTTTACAAAGTTTGATGCCTGAAGTAGAAAATGAAGTCTAAGATATCACCCATGGTTGTAACACCAAGTAGGCGTTGCATACAATGACGTTTGATTCTCAGGTTTATTTTTTCATAGACAAGACCATTGTGATCAGGAACAAGAATTTAAGTTCAAGCTCAGGTACATTTCATAATCAAACCAAACGTGCCTACGTGTACAATACCTGTTCAGAAAGAGAGAGAGAGCGAGAGAGGTCCAATAGTGGGAACCACACTCAAGGCAAGTAGATACAAATGGTCCAGTGGAAGAGGCAATTTATTGGTTGGCGTTTTGACAACTTGAAGCTAGGACCTGCCTAAGTGGTCCTCTATGTATAACTAAAATACGAAGGTTGCAGCACTCAAATTTTTTTATTTTATATGTATACAGACAAACAGGTAATTGATTTGGTTATCAGGTCTCCAGGCCCTAGGTGTTTCTAGGCTCAGTTGGTGATTGTCTGGCATAATATCAGCCTCTCTACTCCCATTAGCCAATGTCCTAGGCATAAATCCTTCATCTGGCTAATAGTACTAGTGTGACCAGAGGGAGAGGATAGTATCAACCTGCTGCTAAAGCCTGAAGTAAAGGAAAGGGGGAGGGGGGCTAGATCCCTGTTATTGTCAGTGCCCACATATTTTAATGGTTTTCCATTTGTTGCCTATTTATTGCAACATATGCCTGTTTGTTATCCAAATATTAAAATGATTGCATATTTGTTGCCCCATATTGTAATGATTGCCTGTTTTGTTCACAATAATCTGATCCTCTTGCACATGCACAATTTAATGCATTTGTTAAAAAAAATTATTAAATGTCTTATAAAATTCATTGTTAAGTGCAGCCAATATCAGCTTCTTTTCAATTCACTGTAGAGTAGAATATGGACTTGGAGAGGCAAGGTAAGTACTCTAAGCCAATCAGACTCTGCTGAATGCACATGTGATGGCATAGAACATGCTGACAGCCTCCTGTAATTCCCTGTACAGTACAATATAGACTCAGAAAGGAAGGGTAATTCATTGAAGCCAGACTTCATGCACACGTAATAGCAAAGAACATGCCAGCAGGAGGAGAGAGATTACTCTATTAGTCTGATGCTGCTAATTGGTTTTCCAATCACAGGATTAGACTTGTGACCAAGTAGTAGTGTCAATCTGCAGAAGAGAAAAGTAGGGTCACCAATCTGATCCTGCCAGCGTAAACCTCTAAATGGTCCATTTAAAACTAAGTGAACAATATTACAAATTTTAGCATATAAAGCAACTCCATTTTATGCACTAAGCTGTTTGCCTAGAGTTCAGCTTTAGCTTCAAAAATATAGTTACAGCTTGTGGCAGTACAGTAATTAAGAAACATTTTTGGAAACTGAACTTTGAGAAGTAGTTATCTTTCATTAATTATTATGTTGGTAGGTGTACCTATATTTTGTGAGAGCTTATACCACAGCTGAGAGAGCAGTTTCTCCCTTTACACTTTGTTGGTTTCCTCCCTTGTTGCTCCGTTCATTGCAATAGCCTCCATCTGTCTTCTGTACACATTCCCCAAAAACAAAATTAACCCCTAGCAGTCTCTCAGTATTGCAATAACAATAATCTATGAGCACTAGAGAGGACTTACTGGTGCCTAAACGAAAATGTGAATTATCTGTTTCTTTAAAAAATCACAAAAATGTTCCTGCTAGAAAGACTTGTTTATTTGTAAAAATCTCCTGTGTTCACACCTCTTTCATAACCATGCATTAATCATAGCATGTCCTGCACCATTGCTCTCCAGCTATTTACTTTATTTCCTAAAAATTAATGGGTTAAGGACTGTTTGGCTGAGTTATTGTCCTATGAAGTCTCATTCGGTCCCTACTGGTTCAATTAGAAATGACAAAGTAGCATTCAAGGATTAAGCGATTTCTTGAACCGGGCAACGTGTTCCTGCTCAGGCTGTTATGAGGATACTTCACAACATCTATCTCTGAAAGCATTAATTATTCTCACTTTCCGTTTTCTCAAGCAACAAGAAATAATAATTTCCCTATAGAACACTAAGCTTTTTTCCAACGCTTATTAAAGACTCAGCATTAAATTATACCAGCCGCTCCATAGCAGGCCACAAAAGCTGATATATCTTCCGCTTGGATGATGCCAAAGCGCTCTGAAAGCAATTCTTCTTAGCTTTTGTCACAAATGTTTATGACATTGAAGGTGAAGAGGATACGTAATAATTCCCATGCCAAAGATGCATAACAAATTGTTGTTAAACCCACAGATCATTTTTTTTGTACCATGACCTAAAAACATTAACCCACAGGAGAATCTAGGGAGACTTGTCTGCTGTACAAACGATCTGAACATATCTAACGTTTAATAAATAATACCCTGTCAGGAAAATGTGCCTTTCTCTACATCAAGTCTAAACTTAAAGTGTATGTTGTGATGATAGTGAACTTTGATAAACCCCATATTATATGGGGAGAGTGGGGGAGTGGTACTGAACACCGTGCAACCCTCATTTTCTCCAAAATTTG